TTAAATATAAAATGGTGACCTTGAATGGAAGTACACGTGCCATCATCTCATTACTTTAAGTATCTAATTATAGGCATCAATTTTGACCTGCTAGCCTGTATTGCACTCAATGCTTATGCAGGGCTGCCACTTTTGTTAACAAGACTCGACATTCATACTCATTACTAACGTCCCATTAATCATGTCCAGAAGATTTCATACACAGATTCAAGATCTTCCTCACGTGGGTTGGCACTAAGTGGGGGTCTTCATACTCTTCCGAAGCTGTATGCCTCGGAGCTCCAAACTTCGGCTAGTGGATGAGATGGGCCTCGGAATGTAATTTTTGGCCTTGTTGCTTGTAAGCAGGACTTCGTTGAGGTGATTCCAATGCTGTGAGTGAGTTGGATATCTCTGCAGCAGGGGCCCTAGGCCTTGGTACCACATGGGTGTCATTGCTACATGGATAGCGGGCCCTAGGCCTCGATGCCATGTGTGCCACGTGGCTAAGGCACAACAATAGTCCCTCCAAGTCTAAGCATGGTTTATTCATATCATGTGTGGACTTTCGAAGTGAATTAGTCGTTGACGTGTGAGGATTAGGTTTCAAATCAAGGTGGTTTGATAATGAACCGTTGAGGCTATTATGGTCGTATTATAGTTGAAATTAATTTTTAGAGCAGGGAACTGAGGGGCAAAGTCCCGAGGCTCCTACGTTTATGATATAGCCAAACTTTACTTTCGAGTCGAGGCATGTGAAGCTGAAGAATGCCAGGGTTAGTTTAGCTACAAAACCGAAGTGGTGAAATGGGTGATTGTCAAGGTTGGTTCTATTTATAATGATTACACAAGAACTTGGAAGTATTTGCCTTCGTGATTTTTGCCAGGTGTCACACCCCAAATATATAGACAACCATACATTACCCTATGTAAAAATGATATTGATGACTTAACCTAGACACAGGATTTCACACATTTTTTTAAAATAAAATTAAGTAAGCATCTTCACAATAAGGTCTCTGTATATTCTTGCCTGGTCACCTATGATGCACATATGGTATGTTATGACCAAATATTATATAATCCAATTCCAACATATATATCTTAAGGATTCCAAAGTATCTACCATACCATTTCAAAAGTCATATGTACAATACAGGATTCTCTAAATAAAATACAATAGATTATAAGACCAAAACAACATCCCATAAGATAACCCTACAGGTCTTCGTCCATATATATCAAACTTCAGAATCCTATAAAAGCTTCACAGCTAGCCTTGACCTCTATGAAGTCCCATATTTACTAACAATGTAAGAACTACATAACCTAATGCTCGATAAGCAAAAATTATGCATGTCATGAGCATGAGTGACAATAATATATGACACCATGTCATTTACTTTAAACATTATGCTTAAGATGCATCATAATCAAATATTCATCAAAGTCAACTTAAAATAACTTCAATTGAGATCTTTTTTGGGCCCTTGACCCACATACTATGCACCGGATAGAACTCTACACAATATCAATATCAATATCAATAATCAAATGACCAATATGAGATTGATATAGACGAGTGGACCACTCTATTGTGACCACTAGAGGCCCATCCCCTAATTGCCCCTATATTACCCAAGAAGATCTTTAAAACCTCAATATTTCAAATGCTCTGTTTTCAAAGAAAGTAATTAGAATAATTGATGCAAATAACATTGTAGAAGCATGAAATGCATGAATCATATTGGCCAAATGTGTAATGTAAAGTTCGGGGTATTACACCAGGGACTCGGCTTCGACCTACTTTGTGAAATAGTCTATAACAACGATGATAAAACTTGCACTTCCTCTACCTTTGAGCAGGGGACCTATGAGATCCACGCCCCACTTGGCGACGGGCTATGGGTTGCACACTGCTGTCAATTCCTAGGATAGTTGCCTTTAAATGGGGGAGAAGCGTTGACATTTGTCACATTTTCGCATAAGCTGAATGACATCCTTTTTTCAATGTGGGCCAACAATATCCCTACCTCAGAACTTTCCTTGCCAACGCCAAACCTCCTAAGTGGTTACCATACACGTCTTTGTGGACTCACATGATATATAAGTGGCTTATTCTCTCCCAACACATTGAAGGAGGGGAGAAGAGAAGACCATCTTATAAGGTATGTCATTCAGTAGTGCAAAATGAGCTGACTTCCTCTTCAATTTGTAAGCCTCTTCTTTGTTGTCGAGGAGGACCTGGTCTTTGAGATAGGCCATAATAGGCTGCATCCAGGTCGATGTTTCTCCTACCCGCATTACGTCCAAAGTAGCGATGGAAGGTTGGAGAAGGTGCTCAAATGTGACCACCATCAACAACTCTGAATCTTTAATGTTGGCTAATTTTGATAATGTCTCAGGATGGGAGTTCTCGACACGTGGGATTTGGGCTAATTTGGACTTTTGAAGGAAAATAGTAGGTCCTTAACCAACCTCAGATACGCAACTATGCTCTTGACACGGGCTGTAAAGTTGCCGTTAACCTAGCTAACGATCAACTGAGAGTCGTTGTTGATGAGCAACCTTTTTACTTACATTTTCTTGGTTGGCCAACGAACAACACTTCATACTCAGCCACATTTTTAGTAGCTTTGAATCCAAATCGTACTGCAAAATTCAGCTTGTGGCCTTCGCAGCTCACTAGGACTACGCTTGTATTTAAGTTTGCTTCCCCAACGAAGTCATCCACGAACAAGTTCCAGGTGGGAGGCTTTACAGGCTCCATTGTTTCCTCCATCAATGAGGCATGGGAAAATTTGGCTACAAAATCAGTTAAGACTTGGCCTTGATGGCGGCTCTATTGTTGAAGTAGATGTCAAATTCACTGAGCTCTACTGCCCACTTTAACAACCTTCCCGAAGAATTAGGTTTCTGAAGCACCTGCCTGAGAAGGAAGTTGGTCAATACGTTTATTGTGTGGGCTTGAAAGTAGGGCCTTAATTTTCTAGAAGCCGTGGTCAAGGCCAGGCTAACTTCTCCATATCGGGATGACGAGTTTTCGGAGCCAGTAGCATCTTGCTGATGTAGTAGACAAGTAGCTGAGCAGTTTCCTCCTCTTTGATTAGGACGGCAAGCCCTCATTGGAGAGGGCCAAGTAAAGTTGTAGGGCTTCTCCGGGCTTAGGTTTCGAGATGAAAGAAGCTTGCCCTAGGTACATTTTCAAGTTTTGGATGGCCTCTTCACACTCATTTGTCCATTGGAACTTCTTTGCCCTTTCGGAACCTTAAAGAATGTGAGGCATTTGTCAGTGGCCATCGAAATAAAGAGACTTAATGTAGCCATATGACAAGTTAGGCTTGGACCTTCTTAAGCTTTTGGGGAGACTTTATCTCAATCAGAGCACAAATTTTCTCGGGATTTGCTTCAATACCTCTTCGGTTGACATGTATTCCAAAAATTTACCGAACGTGCACTTGAGGGAGTTCAACCTCATCCTATACCTCCTTAAAATTTGAAATGTCTCGTTTAGGTGAGCTATGTGATCATCTGCTTTGAGACTCTTGATGAGCATGTCATCTACATAGACCTTTATTGTTTTCCCGATGAAGTCGACGAACATCTTGTTAACAAGCCTCTAGTAGATGGTTCCAGCCATTTGGGCTAGCATT